GGGTTTAGGGAGGCTGGGTTTCGGTCTCCTTCACGCCCCTCAGCGCGCAGGTCAGCGAGGCGGGATCGCCGCCGAAGGCGGGGTCACCCCAAGCGACCACCTTCTCTTTTTGGGCTTTGGCTGGTTAGGGTTTAGGGTTTAAGGCTTAGGGCTTAGGGTTAAGGGTTTAGGGTTTAGGGTTCAGGGTTCAGGGTTTAGGGTTTTGGGTTCAGGGTCCACTAGGCCCACTTGGCTCAAGGCACAAGCAGCCCGAGTCTTTCGAAGCTGCCGGGGCGCCGTGCGATCTCCCCGCAGCGCAGCGAAGGCGTAGTCGGACGCATGGAGCTGGCGCACATCCTTCCTCCAAATCATTATATATATATATATATAAGCTACCCCCCCCCCCAGCGACCTACCCTTTTTAGGCCTTTTTAGGCCTTTTTAACAAAAAATAACAAAGAAGGCCCAACAGTCGCGTAGTTAATCACCGGGTAATGAAGGACAGTTACTGGGACACCCACCTCACAGACCCCGATAAGCTAGCATTGGAAGAATCTACATTTTGAATCTGAAGCGGACAATGCTGTTTTTAGATGTTTAGATCAGCGTTTTTCTATGCAAATTGTGGGTTTCAAGGGCAATTAATGTTTTGTTGAGCAACTAATTTATTTATACAATTGTGTTTGTACGAGGCAAAGTATTAATCAAATAGTGAAACATTTTTCTTGGTTCTATGCGAATTTCGCTACTAGAGTAATTATTAAGCAAAGAGCCCAATTTGACTCAAGTGAATACTATTTAAAGGAGCATACTCAACCAAGATACGAAATAGGCACCATTTTCAACCAAAAAATGGCAAAGTGTGCGTTTAAAGTGCAAATACTGTATTTATACAATTGTGTTTGTACTAGGCAAAGTATGCTCTCTGAAAAGTCCACTGAAATACCTTATGTTTACACATTCATGAATCGTTTTTCTTTTTGAAATAATCATTTTATGCGAATTTAGCTACTAGAGTAATTATTAAGCAAATAGCCCAATTTGACTCAAGTGAATACCATTTAAAGGACCATACTCAACCAAAATACGAAAGAAGCACCATATTCAACCAAAATATGGCAAAGTGTGGTTTAAAGGGCAAAGAGTGCTTTGTTGAGCAACTAATGCATTGAAACAAAGATGTCTGAAGTATTCAATAAAGACTACATATATACTATGCTTGAAAAACGCAACTTGCACAATCAGGCTTAAAACATGCACAAGAATCCTAGAAAAGTATACATAAGCAAATTCACAAATACATAAAAACATCCAAAAGCGCAAGCTTTTCAGGAGAATCTCTGGTAAAGTTTGGATTATAGGGTTTTGGGGTATTCCTGGACGAGTAGGAGTCACTTTTTAAGCAAACAATTCTAAGCAATAAATGCTTTTTCTCAAGACAAGTATTGCAAATGCTGCTTCTAGATAATTAATCGCATTTACCAGGCAAATATTATCCATGCGAATTGAGCTACCAGAGCACCAAGTAATGGCTGAATAAGGCCTACTACACTTGAGTACAACCAAAAGATGCACTAAACACTAGCGGCTCTACTTACATAATAACGAAACAAAAAGTTCTGAAGCACTAGAAAGACCACTTGTATACTATTTCTGAAAAGCACAATTATCATAAGCACACTTAAAAATGCGTAGTTGTTGCCTCGTGACCGTGAAGGCGAACCAAAAAGCCAAAATACCAAAACCAAAAAACCAAAAATACCAAAACCAAAAAAACCAAAAAAACCAAAACCAAAAAAACCAAAAATACCAAAAAAACCAATTTTCCGGGACTCTTGGAGAAGCCTCATAGGGATTTCCTGAGAGTCCCGGAAAATTGGTTTTTTTAGTACTTTTGTTTTTTTTGGTTTTGGTTTGTTTGTTTTTTTGGTTTGTTTTTTTTTGGTTTTGGTTTTTTTGGTTTTTTTGGTTTTGGTTTTTTAGTTTTTTTTGGTTTTGGTATTTTTGGTTTTTCTACTGTCCCGTGTATGCGATTTTAGTTATATTTTAGTCTACGCCCTAGGAAATACGCTATATTGCACACCGAGTTTGCTTGCAGTGCAGCTGGGTGACTTGAGACAAGGCGAAAAAGGGTTGACTTGAGACAAGGCGAAAAAGGGTAGGTCACTGGGGGGGGGTACCATATATATATATATATTTATTTATTTATGATATCAAACCTTTATTATTTGCTTATAGAGTGTATTATAACCTCTCCCATGATTTTTTTGAGTAACAGTTAATGCGGCGTTTTGCGGGTGTGATGGAAGAATTCTCCGAAACCCCAAGCCCCGAAACAGTCCCTAAACACAAAACCCTAAAGCCGAAACCGAAACCTCCTAAAATCCTAGAGATACTCAGGCTTGGGGCTGTGCTTTCACATTTGCCGCCGGGGTGCAGCTGCCCTTGCACGGCCCCGCTGTCCCCACCATATCGCCCATCTCCCCACGTCACAACGGAGCCGTCCTCGTGTTAGGGTTTAGGGTTTAGGGTTTAGGGTTTAGGGTTTAGGGTTTAGGGTTTAGGGTTTAGGGCTTAGGGTTTAGGGTTTAGGGATGTCTGAGTCAAGCCCAGGCCTTTTAGGGTAGCTGTTTAAGTAGGGTTCTAAGCATGGCACCTATTTACAACCCTACTTAGGGTACTTAACACCCTATTTAGGGTACTTCTAATCCTATTTAGGGTACTTAACACCCTATTTAGGGCACTTCTACTCCTATGTAGGAGTACGTATGTATGCCCTTGCCTATTCACTTCTACTCCTACTTGGGGTACGTAAACCCCTGCTTCTTGACAGTCTACTCCCATTTGGGGTACGTATGCCCCTGCTTATTAAGTACCAATGCAAGTAGAAGCCCTAAACCCTATACCCTGAACCCTGAACCCTGAACCGTAAACCCTAAACCCTAAACCCTAAACCCTAAACCCTGAACCCTGAACCCTGAACCCTAAACCCTAAACCCAGAACCCTAAACCCTAAACCCCCCGAGTAGCAAAAACAGCCCTGTCCTCCAACAAGGCCGCGAAGGCGGCCTGGGACGCCCGAATCTGCTGCACGTCCTCGTGACCGCTTTAGGGTTTGGGGTTTAGGGTTTAGGGTTTGGGGTTTTAGGGTTTTAGGGTTTTAGGGTTTTAGGGTTTTAGGGTTTTAGGGTTTTAGGGTTTTAGGGTTTTAGGGTTTTAGGGTTTTAGGGTTTTAGGGTTTTAGGGTTTTAGGGTTTTAGGGTTTTAGGGTTGGTTTTAGGGTTTCAGGGTTTGGGGTTTAGGGTTTGGGGTTTTAGGGTTTAGGGTTTAGGGCCCCAAGAGCCCCAAGGAGTCCCAGAGGTGCCAGAGAGCAGCGCCCTTTCGGGAACTTGAAGATCTCTACCCAGACCCCTGGGAGGAGCCAAAAAAAAAACCCAACCAGTGCCCTCTACTACTCTTGGGGTCATTTTTGAATTTTAGGAACCCTTCAGGGGATCTATTTTTTTGGATCCTCCCAGGGGTCTGGGTAGATGACATCCCCAAATTATTTCCGGCGTCTGCTTGATAGAGTTTCGGATACCAGCGATTGCACCGGCCATGTAGAAAGCTGGCAAGGTTCCCCCTGAACAACTCACCAGAGAATAGAGGAACTATGTTTACTAGGTATAGGGTTTAGGGTTTAGGGTTTAGGGTTTAGGGTTTAGGGTTTAGGGTTTAGGGTTTAGGGGGAACCAGGTTTACTAGGTATCTCCCCCGTTTAAGGCCCCCGGTAAGGCTACGGGATCCCCCTTGCCCAGACCCGAGGATCCAAAAAAAAAGATCCCCTTAAGGGTTCCTAACAATGACCCAATAGTAGAGGGTACTGTTTAGGGTTTAGGGTTTAGGGTTTCTTTGGGGGTTCTATTTTTTGGATCCTCCCAGAATTCTGGGTAGTTCCTTCATTCCATAGCAGGAGCCGGTAAACTTCCCCCACGCGACATCGCCTCAAGCTGCAAGGGGGCTGCGACCCACTCCAGCCAGTCGCTTGGCCTCCCGCCGTTCTGAAATAGGGTTTAGGTTTAGGGTTTAGGGTTTAGGGTTAGGGTTTAGGGTTTAGGGTTTAGGGTGTAGCACGGGTCAGCTGTACGCAGTTGTGTGCAGACATGCCCACCCCAAGGCCACCCAAACACTACTTGCAGCGAAACAAACCAGAGCCAGCCGAACCAAAGCCAGCCCACATTCAAACACTCCTGCACTCAATGCTGTACTTTCGGACTAGTATCCAATATGTTTCTTGATGTTACGAAATTTGCTATGAAGATGCTTTGCTGCATGGTAACATTTAAGAAGCTGCCCTAGAAACAGAACCTCCGGAGAGAAAATTCAGATGTTGCGTTGGGGGACGTCTTCGGCCGGATGGTCTTCTCATTGCTTCTATTCTCCATGCCGGGGTGGTAATATCGAAGAAGTCGAAGAAGATGCCTTGAAAAAGACAGTGGAAATAAACCCCGGCAGAAAAGTCAGGTTTTGCGCTGGGGGCGCATGGTGAGCGCATGGTGAAAGACTTGTTGCTAGAAAGGTGCCTTGTGAAAGTCATGTCTAGAAGCTTACAGGAGAAAATTCAGGTTTTGCGCTGGGGGACGTCTTCGGCCGGAGGGCCTTCTCATTGTTTCTGTTCTCTGACCGGAGTGTCAAGGCTGCATGGCGAAAGACCTGTTGCTGGAAAGGTGCCTTGTGAAAGTCGTGTCTAAAAACTTGCGGGAGAAAATCCAGGTTTTGCGCTGGGGGACGTCTTCGGCCGGAGGGCCTTCTCATTGTTTGTATTCTCTAGGCCGGAATGTCAAGGCTGCATGGCGAAAGACCTGTTGCTAGAAAGGTGCCTTCATAGAAGCTTGCAGGAGAAAATTCAGGTTTTGCGCTGGGGGACGTCTTCGGCCGGAGGGCTTTCTCTTCTGGACGGCCCGGGATGCTCCAGGACAACCTTTTTGGGGGCCCCGGGACAACCCGTCCCCGAGGCCCGGGACAACCCGCAAAATGGTCCGTTAGAAGGCCAAGGCACAAAAAAGCTCCATTGTGAAGGCAAACTTTCCCCTTGAAGGGTCAGAGTTTTGACCAAGGGGGGGTCTCTAATTGCTTTGAAAATGGAAAAATGTGACCCTTCTGTGACCGACTTCGGGGAAGGGCGGGGTATCCGTTTCAAAGGCCCGGGCCCCCCCGAAATTGAATTCGGATAGGGGGGGGGGTATCCTGTTGAAAGCCCGGGCAGCCCGAAATTGACTTCGGATAGGGGGGGGGGGTATCCGTTTTAAAGGCCCGGGCCCCCCCGAAATTGAATTCGGATAGGGGGGGTATCCTGTTGAAAGCCCGGGCAGCCCCAAATTCACTTCGGATAGGGGGGGGGGGTATCCGTTTTAAAGGCCCGGGCCCCCCCGAAATTGAATTCGGATAGGGGGGGGTATCCTGTTGAAAGGCCCGAGCAGCCCCGAAATTGACTTCGGATAGGGGGGGGGGGTATCCGGTTTAAAGGCCCGGCCCCCCCGAAATCGAATTCGGATAGGGGGGGGGGGTATCCGTTTTAAAGGGCGACACCTTCCGAGAGCAAAGGCTCGGTTTTAGGGTAATGTAATATACTAGAGACTATGCTTGGCGACCAAGCTTGGCGACCCCTTCAGGGGTGTGCCTGCAGGCCCGATCAGCCTAGATCGGGCCTGCGTGGTCTCGCTGAGCGCTCGACGGCGCCCACTCACCTCTAGAGTGAGAGGGGTGGTGGGCGGGTTTAGGGTTTAGGGTTTAGGGTTTAGGGTTTAGGGTTTAGGGTTTAGGGTTTAGGGTTTAGGGTTTAGGGTTTAGGGTTTAGGGTTTAGGGTTTAGGGTTTAGGGTTCAGGGTTTAGGGTTTAGGGTTCTCTGCGGTCGATTCTTGAGGGCAGAAGAGAAAAAGTCGGACCTTTAGTGGCCCACACTCGTTCTTCAAGCCAGAATCGGAATGTCCACGCAAGCTGGGCAATTCAAAGCTCAAAACTGGGACCGTCCTGAACCCTAAACCCTACACCCCAAACCCTAAACCCTAAACCCAACAGGGGCCCGAACTAACACACTAGAGGATAGAGGCAAGCTCTCGAAACCTGACCCAACCCCACAGATTAAGAGAGATTAAGAGGGGGGGGCTCCCTCAAAGTTTAGGGTTTAGGGTTTAGCCCTAAACCCTAAACCCTAAACCCTAAACCCTAAACCCTAAACCCTAAACCCTCAAAAGGCACCCGAGGGTGCAGGAGCGGCGACTGCTGAAGGTCAGCACGGAGCCATCCTTGTTGAGGGTTTAGGGTTTAGGGTTTAGGGTTTAGGGTTTAGGGAGACGATACTGGGTTATTTAAAGGACTAAAGGAGGGACCCTGGTGAGGGACCTGAGGGGTTATTGGGGGTTATTTGGGGGGTACTTAGGTATATAGGTACTATAAAATGTATATATAGGGGTCATATAGGGAATCAGATGAAGGCCTGCTACCCCCTCAGCCAGGGTACAGGAACCAAATAGTACAAAATGTTTGCTAAATATTTCCATCAGTTCTATATAAGTCGAAGTCGAAGAGGCTGGAGCTGCTCCAGTGCCCTTTCTGAGCCACAAAGAAGTCCCAACATCTCTGGAAAAGGACCCCACGAAGTAGAAGCCTGGGACAAACTCCCTGAAGTCATCATCGAAGAGGCCCCCCCGAATCTCCCAGCTTAAGCCCTCAACCCTAAACCCCTAAACCCCTACAACCCAAACCCCAGAAGTAGTGTAGGATACATCAGGTGGTTTAAGGTTGCTTGGGGACTTGGGTACTTGGGTTGGCAAACCCTCCCCTCCCTGAGTTGAAACAAACTTCTGCCAAGCCGCTCCCTTCAAGACAGAGCACGCGCATTCGTCCAAGATCCTCAGAGGTCACTGGGGTGGTTTTAGGGTTTAGGGTTTAGGGTTCAGGAATTAGGGTTTCGGGTTTACTGTTCAGGAATTCGGGTTTAGGCTTCCATGCAGGGATAACGGCCTATAAGAATGCACAACGGGTTTGCGAACCCTCTCGTCCGTGGCTGGCTCATACAGATTACGGCCGATGTGGCTTGAAGAGTTTAAGTCGTTAAGTACTATGATGTTGCGATATCTGTTGTATTGTCATGTTGTAATTCTGAATACATCAGAATCTGGGTGGCTATCAAAATTATGATCCCCGTTAGGGTACCCTAAATATTGGGTGCCGCATTATAATAGGTGTCCAAAAAAGGACCATCATTTTGACAACCGCCCACATAGGTGGTGCTGCGTAGACAGTGACGGTCACAGAAGGGCCGAATGACTGAATGACTCCCATTCTTGGACCCCCCGACACCCAACAATTCGACCCCCCCCCCCCCCCCCCCCAATGCCAAGCGCTCCAAGCAGCTCCCTACCCCTAAAGAGTTTAGGGTTTAGGGTTGCCCTGAAAACCCTAACCCCTGAAACCCTACATCCTAAACCCAAACCCCCCCCCCCCCCCAACCCTCAACCCTACTCCTTCCCAAACCCTAAAACCCGAACACCCTCCAAACCCTACACCTCCAACATGAGTATTTCCTCCAAGGGTTGAGCCTTCCAAGAAACCGGGGGCCTTGGATCATAACTTCCTAAACCCTAAACCCTAAACCCTAAACCCTAAACCCTAAACTCTAGCCTAAACCCTAAAGGCCCTAAACGCTCCGAGGATCAGCTCATCTCGGCATAGGATGGCCGTGAGCACCTCCTGCTCAAGCACGCCGGCCTACCAGGGCGGACCATTTAGGGTTTCAAAAGGGTTTAGGGTTTAGGGTTTTAGGTCTTAGGGTTTAGGGTTGAGGTGTAGGGTTTAGGGTTTAGGATTTAGGTTTTAGGGGTTAGGGTTTAGGGTCCCTTGGGTTTTGGCGAACCCTTTTACGATCCTTAAGGTAATAAACGGGCTACGTTAGGAGTCTACTAACCAAGAACCGGGCTTCGCATCCTCAGGGATTTATTTTGGAAGGTCTTAGCTTCAATTCCTTGGCTTTCGTCCCAGGATTGAATCTCCTTGGGCGGCGTTCTTTGGGAAAATCGCCCCAACTTCGTGCTCTACATATCTCCTCAGTGGTTGTTTATAATACCTAAGCATGAACCCACAGGCCTCACGCAAGGTGCTGGCTGACGCAAGCTTCTCCTGAGCTGGCTTTAGATTGACTAAGTGGTTGGGAATACGTGCGCTCCTATGAGTAGATACCCCTAAACCCTAAACCCTAAACCCTAAACTCTAAACCCTAAACCCTGTGAGTAGAGGCGCTCATGTACCCCTGAGTTCATCCTGCAATCTAAGAACCCGAGAGGAAGTGAGCCGTAAACCCTGCCCTCCCTCCCAAACCCCAAGCCCTTGAACTCCAAACCCGAAAAAACCCCGCAAAAAACCCTAAAACCCCCTCAAAAACCCTAAACAACCTTAGGTTCACCAAAAGCCTGAGAATCAAAACAGGTTACTCATGTTGGGGGTTCATGCGGGACACAAAAACCCGAAACCCGAAGGGTTTTAGAAGGCGGGCCTTCCTTGGGACATCGGGACATCCCAGAAGTTGGCCCTAAACCCTAAACCCTAAACCCTAAACCCTAACCCCTAAACCCTAAACCCTAAACCCTGAACCCTAAACCCTAAACCCTGAACCCTGAACCCTGAACCCTGAACCCTAAACCCTAAACCCTAAACCCTAAACCCTAAACCCTAAACCATCACCCTAAGCCCTGAATACACCAGATGCCGAGTCGCACCCCGACTGTTGATGAGCCATCGGATGCCGCTGAGCTTGGGCAACCTCGGGTCGCCAGGGTTCATAGGGTTGAGGGTTCCTAGGGTTTAGGGTTTGGGTTTAGGGTTTAGGGTTTAGGGCTTAGGGCTTAGGGCTTAGGGCTTAGGGCTTAGGGCTTAGGGCTTAGGGCTTAGGGCTTAGGGCTTAGGGCTTAGGGTTTAGGGTTTAGGGTTTAGGGTTTAGGGTTTAGGGTTTAGGGTTTAGGGTATAGGGTTTAGGGTTTAGGGTTTAGGGTTTAGGGTTTAGGGTTTAGGGTTTAGGGTTTAGGGTTTAGGGTTTAGGGTTTAATGTTTAGGGTTTAGGGTTTAATGTTTGGGTTTAGGGTTTAGGGTTTAATGTTTAGGGTTTAGGGTTTGCTACATATTCTTGCATATTGTTGCGTATTCTTACATGTTATTATGTATACATACGATTACACATTATTAAGACCCCCCACCCCCCCCCCCCTCTCCAGCTTATGAGAGGCGATTCTCCCCAATTCATTATGAAGAGCTCCGTAAGACATAGTGCAGATCTCAGTCTCTTGTACCTTGAGATTTTCTCACCCTAAACCCTAAATCCGAAACCCTAAACCCCAAAACCACAAACCAAGCCGTAGACCCAAAGGCACGATTTAGGGCGCCAGGGGGGTGTCAGGCAAGCGCCCTGAAGCGCCCAAACACTGAAACGATCTATCGTCATCACAATTGTATGATAATGTTATACAACTGAATAAATGAAACAAATTTATGCATAAGCAAAAAATACATATAAATACAAATATAAATATAAGTATAAATATAGCAAATATAAATACAAATATGAATAAACAAATAAATAAATAAATAAATACTGTATATATATATATATGTATATACTATAAATAAATAGACAAATAAATAAATATAAAATATATATATATATATATATATATATATATATATACATATGTATGGATACAGAACAATTTCGCCGCGGCGCGTGCCCTGGCGCCGGAAGGCAGCTTGTGCAGACCGCCGCAGCTGCGCGATGCTGGTCTCCTGTGGGCGCCAGGATCCATCTCGGGCCCCCTAAACCCTCAACCCTAAACCCTAAAACAACCCTAAACCCTACACCCGAAGCCCAGTTTTCAATGCAACCTTAGAGCCCAAACTCGCCAAAAAAAGATGCTGCACCCTGGAAACTGCAGACTCTCAGCCACATGACTTGGAAGTTCTGAGTATTTCGGTTCTGAGTATTTCGGCTTGTGCTTGATACGGTGTCAAGATTGAAGCAATGGTATTCATCGCAAAGGCAATGTTGCAGCTGGCGGTGGTGGCGGTGGTGGTGGTGGTAATGGTGGTAGTGGTGGAAGTAGTAGAAGCAGTGGTAGTGGTAGTCGTAAACGTCGTAGTAATAGTGGTAGTAGAAGTGGTGGTAGTAGTAGTAGTAGTAGTAGTAGTAGTAGTAGTAGTAGTAGTAGTAGTAGTAGTAGTAGTAGTAGCAGAAGAAGAAGGTTTAAAGCGGTTATAGCAGTGGCCCACTCGACCTCCGCATCTTCGCAGATCTCGACCCTCTCAGAGCTCAAGAGAGCCACGGTGACGCGCATCGCCATTGCGGCTGCATGCAGCAAGGAGCTGTGATCCTGGTTCTTAAGGGTGTCCAGTAGAAAATTCAGCAACCAAACAAGCCTAAGTGGTACCCGGCGCACAGCACGATCAGATTCGGGCTTCAATAACTTTGGGCGTGTTTGATCCATGTTCAAGCATTGAAACATCATGTCGTGGAGTTGGAGGACCACAGCTCTTCATCTGTGACTCGGGTGGAGCCAGTCCGATCGCGAACCAGAAAGCAATGGCTAAGGGAGCTGCATGCTGTGGCTCTGTCAGAGAGATGTGCAACGGGCGCCTGTTCAACATCTGGCAGTGGTTTGTCTTCGTACCATGTGTTGCAACAACCCGTCCAACTAGTCGACAAGGCTTTAAGGCGCCTGCAAGTAAGAATGTAGAATGATCTATGACAAGATAAAGAGACCCAAGAATATCTCATAGTCTATCTCGTGCAAATCATATAAACCAACAACAGCCATGTATAAGAATACATTGCAAGATAGTATCTGGTTGTGGTACTCTCAGCGTTCGCTTTGCGGGTGACACGGATGGCTTCCTACGCTTGAGCCAGTCTCAAGCACAAATGATGGCTCAGGACGAACAAGTCCACAGCTCTCCAAGTGGAAGGGGCCTGGGGCCTTAAAAATCTTAAACCCTTATCTTGGGAAACCTTAAGCCAGTAGCCCTATAAGCCCTTGAAACTTGTTTCTTCTCAAGACTGTGCCAGGTTGCCTCGGGGATCCACACTACCGCACGTCAAGGGTTGGGTCTCGGGTCGGCTGAGGCTTTTTAAGGCTTCAGGGCTTTGGGGGCTTTCAGGTTCAGAGGTTTCAGCCCCTTATACTAACTGTCCTCCCTAAACCCTAAACCCTAAACCCTAAACCCTAAACCCTAAACCCTAAACCCTAAACCCTAAACCCTAAACCCTAAACCCTAAACCCTCCATAGGGATTATAGTACCCCCTATTCGAATCCCTCCCCCCGCAACTCCCGCCCTCAAAAGCAAGAGCCCGGTTCCTTGGTGGCGCTCAGGGCATCCCAGACCGCCTCTCATGGGGTTCTTAAAAGGGTTTCAAAAGGGTTTAGGGTTTAGGGTTTAGGGTTTAGGGTCCTTGGGTTTTGGGGACGCTTGTTTAAAGATCCCTAAAGTAGTCTAAGGGCCTTATTAGGAGTATACTAAGGGGAACATTCTTAGCCGTTTTAAAGTATTTAAAGGGGTGCAGCTCTAAGCCCAAGGACTCACTTGGTAGGGTTTAGGGTTTAGGATTTAGGGTTTAGGGTTTAGGGTCTAGGGTTTAGGGTTTAGTTGCCTTGCCCAAGGATCTCTCTGGAAGGCTTAGTTTTGCTGATAGAGGGTTTAGGGTTTAGGGTTCCGGGCTAGGGTTCAGGGTTTGGGGCTTAGTTAGCTTTGTTTTGGGCATATGACCTTTGAAACTTTGAGACAACGGTCGCGGCCTCCACTCGGTCGTCGTTGGGTGCCTCCCTGAGTGTGTTGCTTTGAACAAATTGGAAGTGTCTGGGCATGGCCAATCCGTGTTGAAGCGCAGCGGGAGAGTGCAAGGGAAGCTCAAACGCATGCTTCCATGTCTGCCAAGAGAATCCTCCCCTCCCCTCCCCCCAAGCTTCAGGCTTGCAGCTGCCTTCTACGAAAGGGTTTGGGGTTTAGGTTGTAGGGTTTAGGGTTTAGGGTTGAAGGTGTAGGGTATTTAGAGTTTAGGGACCCTCGAGGCGTTCAGCAGCTTTGAGGGGGGGGGGGGCTTTATGTTTTACGTGCAAAGCCCTGCAAGAAGGAGAAGAGACTCAGCCCAACACGGCCATGCCCCGCGTCCCAGCACGGCTGCTGTGGCACCAGCAACTGGCCATAAGAAGACGATAACACAACTTGAGTAACAATTGTAACAATTGTAATCTAGACCCAAGAGTAACCTAGGAATGAAAAGGGTGCCCTTGTTGGTTGAAAGAGGTTGAGAAGGGAACCTAAACCCGAAAAAAAGGGAATCTGGCCTCCTCTTTTCATCGCAAACATACATGTACAGCAACGAGCATAGTCATGGTAAGTCCATTGATGATAGCACAAGAAACTCCGAGGAATCATCATCATCACCATCATCATCATCATCATCATCATCAGCATCATCATCATCATCATCATCATCATCGTCGCAAGTACTATCATCGTACCAACCGTATTTTATCATACTACTCGTAGTTCACGGATTGAAATGAAATCAGGTGTCATCCAAAGCCTCGAAGGTCAGCGGAGGGATCGAGCTAGTCCTAGCCACTAAGGCAGTAGCATGGCTGCAGGTCCTGCAGTCCACATGGACAGTTCTCTAAATTAGAGAGGGCGTCCTATAATGAGCACCCCTAAAGGGACCATATGTTGGAGACGTGACCATATGTTCAGGCGATCATAGAAGCACTGATGCCTGGTAGCCGAAGATCTAGGTTTAGGCAGTCGAGGGCTTGAGATTTGGGCTTGCGCTCTCAGTTGTCTTTAAAGTTGAGGGTTTGATTCAGAACCCCAAAATTCCGACACTTGTTTGGAAACCCGATCTTGCTTGAACGGATGACTCTGAACTGCAGGGAACGTTTTCGGAAAGGAACCAAAAACAGTGATAGTGACAAGAGCCATATGATGTTTCGCAAAGACCGTAGAAAAATAACTACCGTAATACCCACTGTACTAGTAGCAATGAAGAAGAAACGCAGTTCAAACAGCCCCGAACCCTAGCAATAACATTACTTGTAGTATGAATCGAAATCATCGTAGCAGCGGTCCATTCCCTTCCAGTAAGACACCAAACCCTAAGTGAGAATAGTAGCAGTCCCCCCTCCCCTAAATCCTAAACCCTAAACCCTAAACCCCAAACCCTCAACCCTAAACCGAACCCCTCCCCCTCCTCCTCCCCCCCGCACCCAAAAACCTTCGTGGCAGAGCCTTCGCCACGGAGAAGTCTCTCACCCGAATCCGAGTCATAGCCGGAGCCGGCCAAGGCGTGCCTTCGTAAGGTTTAGGGTTCAGAGTTTTTCTTAGGGCTTGGGGGATGTTTAAGGGTTGTGCAGAGCTTTTTCGGGGGGACGGGGGGGCTTCGGGACTTTGGGAGCTTCAGGGGGTTTTGGGCAGGGCTTCGGGTTCGAGGGTTGAGAGGTTCTCCGAACTACCAAAAATCCCCTCATCTAACCTCCCAAAGCGTGAGGTCACTCTCGAAAACCAGCACACAAGGCTCCACTCGCGGACTCTGTTCGACATGCCGTATCATGCGGAATGTGCCCCCTTATACTAAGTGTCCTGCATAGGTACTATAATAGGGGGTACTGTTATCCCCATTAGGGACTGCTAGTACAAGGGGGAACATCCCAATGTACCATGCTGTGCCTGCTCTCAAGAACCTGAACGAGCGCAATGTCTTTAAGATTTTATGGTTGGGTTTCGTGACATTGGGGTTCATATGTCCACCCCTTAAGAAAATATGGTCCCTCTTTTGGGGCCTTATAATCCACGTATTTCGGCTGCTCCAATAGGGACCATCGAGAACTCACCCGGCATTTCCCAAAGTAGGGGTACCCCGTTTCTACCCCAAATAGTATAGGAGCCCCTTGAAGGGACTACCCTATTTTCGTAGAAACCCCCATAGTTCCCTAAACCCGAAACCCTAAACCCTAAACCCTAAACCCATATATAAAGGCACCCGAAGGATAGTTGGGTGCAGCCAGGGTGCATCATGTCCTTCAACTCCGCCACCTTGGGAACTTGGTGAGCTGTCGGGCTTCAGGACGCTGAAAGGTTTGCCTTTGGGGGGTTAGGGTTTAGGGTTTAGGGTTTAGGGTTTGGGGTTGGGGTTTGGGGCTTGGGGCTTGGGGCTTGGGGTTTGGGGTTTGGGGTTTGGGGTTTGGGGTAAATATTGATTGCTGTCGAATGATAGATAATTCTTTTTGATGAGCCTGCAGGCGTGGGAGCAAACATGCTAGTAACCTTCTTGGTGAGTTTGAGTGTGCGAACAAGGATCATCTGAAGAATAACCTTAGTTAGTCTTAATTTCACTAACTAGCCTTAACTATGGTAGTATAGAGGGGGGTGGTACGGGAACCCATGAGCCCACGAGCCCCCACACGAAACAGAAAGTCAACATTTGGGAGTAGACTCCTTTTTAGGAAAAAGTAGCAACAATACCCTAAAACCTAAACCCTAAACCCTAAACCCCAAGCCCTAAACCCATGGCGGCCCCCGAGTCCGAGCTCCGATTTGGTGCTGGGGCTCTGAACCCTAAACCCTAAACCCTAAACCCTGAACCAAGACGAGTATTAAAGTATAGTACTCCAAAACCCAGGAAAGTCAACACTTGGGAGTCTCTTGCAGACGCGCCGCTGTCTGCGAGATGTGCTGCTGCGGCGGCCGCCACTTAAGGGCCGTCTGAGAGCATTGGGTTCAGGATTTAGGGTTTAGGGTTTGAGGGTTTGAGGGTTCTAGGATTCATGGTTTAGGGTTTTAGGGTTTTAGGGCTTGAGGGTTTTAGGATTTGGGGTTCAGGGTTTGGGGTTCACTGCCCTGAACCGTATGCAGATTGTGCGTCCAGGCCTGCAGACCTCCACAATTCTGCAGTGTTGGGTTTTTCTCGGGGTTGGGGCATGTTTTCTGGTCGCCTCCCAAATTCCTGTGGGGGTTGGGCTGTAGTGCGTAAGGGTCCCACGAAAACATTCAACCCTAACCCTGAACCCGAAACCCAGAACATGTGGGCCTGCCAGAAAAGACCCCAGACTTCAGATCCCCCATGCAAAACTCTGAAAGGGTCCCTAAACCCTAAACCTAAACCCCAAACCCTAAACCCCAAACCCTTAACCCTAAACCCTAAACCCCAAGTTCCGACAGCCTTACGACACGAAGCGCGTCGCCTGCAGCTCCAGGCGAGACTCCAAGGTCAACGCCTTTGAGCTGGGGTGGAGGGTCTAATCTAGGGGCCTCAATAATTAGAATAGGGTTTAGGGTTTGGGGTTTAGGGTTTAG